AGCGCGGCTCAGAATTTCGAATACGAAATCACACAACAACTTGAAAGGTTGGGAGCCGGCGCCGTTTATTAAGATGTAGTACAAAGATGTGGTTTAATGTCAGTTGTACAGGCATCGTACAACACTGTGGACGGCCATCTACTTAGAGCCTTCGTAGAGAGATGGCAGCCAGCTACCAACACATTTCACTTACCTGTTGGAGAGATGACCATCACACTTGACGATGTGAGTTCGTTGGTCGGTTTGCCAGTTGTTGGGCGTACCGTATCTTGCGAGCGTTTGGTCCGTGATTCCAAAACCATTCCCAGTACTTTGATGTTCCAGTTGCTAGGTGAGTACCCGGACGATGTAAACAAGAAGAAAGCGGTCAAGTTGGAATGGTTGAAGGCTAAATTTAGCAAAGTGACCCTGAGAGATAGTGCAGAGAAGAGGACGTACGCCATTCGGGCGTATTTGTTATTTTTGCTCGGGTGTACTATACTGTGCGACAAGACAGGCAACATGGTAAGCGTTGAGTACCTAAATCTTGTAGCTGATTTGGATCGGATTGTCTGATATAGTAATAATCTCGAAACTCTCTCGCGTGGCAACATTTTGACCTATTAATTCTCGAAATGCTGTAATCCGACCATCCATATGGCTGGCTGGCTGACGCTCTTTCAGTCATGGATTTACGAGCACTTTCCTTATTTGGGGGGTGGCACATTGAAGACGGAATACAACATGCACGAAGTGACAGTTGTCGACGAATGCCATACCGTGCTCTTGCCTCTCGCTGAAAAGCTTTGGATCGCTCGATAGGGGAAGGAACGTGAGACACTGATACTTGGATAAGTAGACAAGCACAATATTGTATGTTGAAGCAATTACATGACCCATATTTGGCAAAGACATCCAATGATCACGAGTTGCAGGAACATCCCAGTTACTCACAATAGCTTGCATGCTTCTAACGGTTTCTTCGCCACGGTGCATGGTCGTGTAAGTGGAAAAATTAGAAGTCAACTCCCGTAGCATGTCATCTCGCACTCGACCCCATTCATCTTCTCCAAATCCCATCATAGAGGCAACTGCCCGAAATCCACAGTGTCCATCTGAACCGACATTGATGATTTCTCGAACGTGCATACGAAATCGTGGATGGATCGTGTCAATGTACTTATTCTTGCCGATCAAACCTGGTGGCAATCCCACATCTGCATCTTCAAATAATGGTTTGACCGACTCTTGTGTCGGTATAGTGCTTTTTCCTGACTCTTGAGTTGGTATAGTGTTGAAAGAATCATTCGAATGCCCTCGTAATCTCATCAGTACAGGTATAAGCTGCAGTATATTACATTTCATTACTCAGCACAATTATAAAATACAATTTCAATGAAATGAGACGATAGTAGCGACATTTACCTTTGGAGAACAACTAGCTTGCTTCGATTTTTTTTTCTTTGGCTCCACATACTCAAAATGTGATTTGTCCCGAGTGCTTGATTTGTCT